AATCATAATACTAATAATATAAATATAACAAAAAACATCAACAAAACACCATACCTCTTTCCTCCCCCTAAATTTGCTTGGCCTGTTCTCTACCTCCACGTGAGCCTCCTATCGATTATCCATTAACTATACCGCTTAGTAATAAGCAAACCGTTTAGATGACAATAAACACGCACAAACGCACACACGCACATACATACACACATACATACACACATAAACACATACGCACAGAGAGAGAGAAAGAGAGAGAGAGAGAGAGAGAGAGAGAGAGAGAGAGAGAGAGAGAGAGAGAGAGAGAGAGAGAGAGAGAGAGAGAGAGACGAGGACGAGAAATGCTCATCCTTTAAGATACAAAAAAACAAAACCACTCAAACACAGACTTACGAAGAAGAAAAAATAGGCATTTAAAACCATTTGATCTCAAATCTATTCCCGTCTTTCTCCATGTCGTGTACTGTAAATTCTACTGCCCTCTGAGACTGAAACTTGAAGCCTACGGCTTTCTGTCTAGTAAACTTTGGTGACAATGGCATATTGAATGTTACCACACCAACACTAAAGAAACTGGAGAGATTAACGTCGAAAAATAATCCTTCAAACTCCAATAAAAGTCATTCTTAAACTCGTAGTTTTTTTATCGGGAAAAAAGATAAGTTTACAATGTTTGGGGGTAGTTTTCTCTTTCTTTATGACTAGTGCTCTTAAGCATTTTGTGAAGTTTTAGTTCTCAGCTCTATTAGGAATTTTAACGGCACTTTCAACACAAGCAGTTAATATGAGTGTCTAAGATTAGAAATGTTACAAGAAAAGTAACGTGCAAAGAAACGATGGACTGGAGACGAGGACGATAGACTGGAGAAAACGAAAGAACCACACCCGAGAACCCGAGAACCCCCCGCCTTTTTATGAAGAAAACAAATCACTTCGACGTATCAGAATTTGTAAATACACACTGTCACAACTAGGAGAAAAGTTATTTAAAAGATTTTAAAAAACCATAAAAGTGTTCATGAACAAAATAGAACACATTGTTTCATACAGCCCTGAAATAACTTTGAAACATCAGCATCCAGCCGAGTTACAAAACATTCTTATCCTACACAAAAATGTTCAGAGCTGAGAAAACCTGAACGAGATTGCTATAAAGATTATTTATTCCCCCCATCAAATTGGATTTTTACAGAGAAATCTCTCCATATTTTTGAATAGCTAATCCCCCACTAGGGATTGCTGAAAGATAGCGAAGAACCCAGCCCAATTAATGTAATTTACTAATGGCGCTGGCTATTCAATACTTCAATCAAATAATTGCTTCGGTTCGTCTTAAGTCGTCTTTTTCTGCCTGTTTTCTCAGACTAATTTTTTTATCTTTAATTCTCTGGGCCTTTCGTTTCTTCCCTCTTTCCCTATTTTTCTTAAGCTTTAATTAATCTGTACATTATTACCTTTCTTTACCTCCTGGGTCAACATACAGTGCTGGTCTGTGTGTCTGTTGTTCGTTAGTTGGGGGAAAATGAGAAATACTAATCTTGATAACAGGGATCAGAGAGACGTCACTATTCCTCCATTTGAAGACAATAATTATGAAGCACTCTTTTAAGTAATTTTTGTCATAATGATTGTGGAGATCATTATGACAAAAATTACTTAAAGAGTGCTTCATAATTATTGTGGAGATGGTTTTGATTATCTACAAGACTTATATGCTCTTGCACACACACACACACGCAC